TTTCATTTATGCATTCATCTAAGGCGCTACCAGATTCAACTGGCAAGCTGTCCCCAGGGGCCACAAGACTTTGCTCCCACACAAGGGTGTTGTGAGGGCAAATACATTACGCAATTGTAAGCTGCTCAGATAAGATGGTAGTGGGGATCTATACTAGTGCCATATAGCTAGGTCACTGTGTTGCTTACTTTATAAATCTGTTGCACACAGCATGTGCGCTGATTTAATATTGAACTGGATGCTGAGCACAACAGAACTTAGTGTTCATTACCAAAGACAGGGAGTGACTGACAAAGTGGACTGCAAAAATATCTACAGACAGATATGCCAATAATTAACTACCTCGTTATAAACAATATAGGAAATTAGTTTGCTGTGTTTTGCTTAATAAAAGCTTCACTTGTCAGGTGTAACCCAAGGGTCTCCCATGGGAAACCAAAGTTTGTCACTTTATTTATTTATATTTATTTATTTATATTTATGCAGCTAGGAAATAGGCATAAACAACCTGAATTTTTGAAATCCAGTTGTCATTCTGAGTTACCTGCAAATATATGCCTTGACACCATTTCCGTTACAAAGTTTACTGACTGGATTTGGTTATGCACCCAATCCTTGTAAGGTTATTTCAGTAGAGAGTTTTGCAGACATGCTTTGCACAGAAGAGAAAGCTCAGTGCATCTGTACTGAAAATAATGAGGGCCTAACCGCATACTAAACTGAAACCTGCATCTGAAAATGATTCATAAGTTTCCTCCCTAAGTTGGAGCATACTGCTATTTGTTAAACAGGGAAGCCCCATAGCAGACTAACAACATTTCCATCCAGGTTCATCTGAGAAAAGAATGTTCCTGCTAATGTATTTTTCTTAATTATGGATGTCACTGGATAATCAGTACTTCAGGGGTAGACGAGCCTATGAATAAAACAAAATCAATTTTCCTCTCTGGATTGGCCAAAGAAAATGTGGCTCAGTGCTAAAAGTAGATCATGTAGGGGGCCACTGGCACATCTAAAACAGTCTACATGTCTCTAAAAACAGCCTACCTCCAACTGTTACAATAAGCTCCATTTTTTTTTTCCAATCTGTTGCTGTTTTATTTACTTTATTTATTTACTGTGTCTGACAGCACCATGCTGAGTTCAGCCTCTCACTAGTGCAGCACTGAAAAACAGAAGCTTGTGGAAGAAAAAAAATGATGGTAAACCACAATCCTGTATAATAGGGCTGAGAGACAAGCACAGCACCTGAAAGTACTTCTAGTCTTTCATTTACTTGATTGCAAGCATCCACTGTCCCTTTAAATTACTGAGAGCAGGCTGGATTAACTCTCCCATAAAACTCAATACATGCTCTGTTGTGCTTGTGTCCATTTCTGTGATGACCCTAGAGCTAAGTCTGTTTTAGGATTTTGCAAAAGAAATCAAATTGATAGTTTCACTTTCTACCTCACTCCTCAGTATTCCTTCCAAGACTGCTTTTGCTTATTCATCCAGCATGACAAGGACCTGAATAACACAACTGTCTCAGATAGTGATGGGGGTGGTCTCTATTCAGTCCATTCCCCCACCCCCTGCTGGTTCTGTCCCTTTTTATGGTTCCCTGTCATTTCAGTATCCAAGCAGCTTACTCATATTAATACATTTACACTCACGACATCTGCCAAGGCAAGGAGGCACAACCTGCATTTTGTAGATGAGAAAACCAAGATACTCAAGGATCCTAGGCCATGTGGTAACAGAAATAATGAATAATACTCTATTGCCAAGGCCACACAGAGAGCACATGGCAGAGCAAGGAATTTTAGACTCTGGCATTTTTGTCACTCGGGCTGCCAAGTATTTAATGAATTTTTCTGACTGCTACCGTTTCATCTGTGCACTCTTAATTTATATACACCAGTACACAGTGTCACCACTTGAGGGCATCAAATGAAGCTGTTTTAAGACTGCGTTTTTTGTGATATGGTGAGCAGCAGCATGAAAGCACCAGCCACAGAGCTGACAGGTTCACGAGATAATTGCAGAACAAAGCTTCTCAGTTAGCACAATTCAGCTTGCAAGCTGGTTACCGTGATCTTTCATATAGCCAGCCTCTCTCACGAGTCCAGCCCAACTAGGAGCCTGGGACGAAGGGATCCAGGATGCTACAAACAAACATAAGCAGATTAGACAAGATGCAAAAATTTAACAGTGAGAATTTAACAACGTGCAACTTGACATGCCTAAAACAACATTACCACCAGGAAGCAGCGTGGAAAGGTACAAAGGAGTTTTAAAATTTCAGACAGCTAATTACTAGCAACAACAGCTCTGTCTATAAAACTTAATCATCAACTTGGTCATGTCCCTTTAACTGCTATGAGAATCTGCAACATAAACTAAACAATTACTGTTGGTAGGTGAAGTAGGTCCTGACTCCATCTCACAGACAGGCCCTGTTCTTCCACCATTTAATCTAGGAGGATAGTATCAGTAAAGCCAACTGGACTTGACTGGCTCTACTTTCTTAGTCCTCCAAATGAAGATCACACAAACACCCTCCAGAGTTTGTCACAGTCCCTGTGCCCAAGAACTGAATACAGCTTTCCTGCAGAGTCGAGTGCTTACTCACAAGACCTGCCCTCTGCCCTAGAAAGTAGCTGCTTCACCCTAATTTCCTTCTATACAAGAGTTAACAAGTTTGTAACCCATAAGCATGTTTATCTCACTATTTTAGACAACTGGTTGATAATGGCTCCATAACTAATAGTGAAGAAATCACCTCTTATTTAAAACAGATGTAAGCCAGAGTCTGGAACCTACTGAGAGCGTGCCACACAAATTAAACTGGACTGGTTTCCAGACCTTCCAAGAAGTTCTTTCTACACAGAAAATTTTGCTAAATTCTCTCATTGTTGCACTAGAGCCAGTGTAGCTCCACTGTTGTTAAAAACAGCCAGTGTTGGTGTATACAGGGCTTAGATGTTTCCACCTTTACATTCACTAGACCCCTCTCACAACATTTTAAGCTGAAAACACCAGCAGCCAGTTTTTACAAATGAAATCCTTGTCACTACCCTAAAATAGTGCTGAAATGGGATTAGGAGGCAACCTAACAGCTGAAAAGGTTGCAGTGATGGAAAACAAAGGCTCGGGTTAGCCTGACACCAAGCCCGTCTGAACCTCCCCCTGAATACAGCTTGATCTTTGCTTCTCTTAACCAACACCCTCCCAACAGGAAAACCTGATGGATAACGCAAAAAATAACTGCCTGCCTTTCTAATTTGAGAAAATTCTGAAGTCAGAGAAACTTCTATGTTACCTGACAAGAGCACTAGAGCAGCCATTGATGGAAGTGATGTAAAGGCGCTGAAAAGACAGAAGGGTCTCCAGTGTATGACCAAGCACACTAGCAGATATCACCAACTGATGCATCTACAATAAACAAACACAAGACGGCAGGCAGTTATAAATTAAATATAAATACCTACTCCAAGTCAAAGCCAAGAAGCTGTGCATAATAATCACCTACAGCCCTCTTATCACACAAGAGGGTGCTATAGACTGAGCAGCAGTCACCATCTCCCTTCAGGATGGCTAAATGCAGTTCTATTTCTGTTAACAAGCCAAGCTATTCAGCAAACTTCATTTGACCTGCAAAATATGGCTCTTTTTAAACTCTTTTTCTATTTGGCTGGACCGATGGGTAGAGATTTGCATAAGAATTCTGCAAAACCACAGTTGTTTCTACAACTCGCAAAGGGATTAGTTTCCCTGGGAGATGGAGATTGCAGGATACGCTCTAAAGCAGGGGTGGGCAATTATTTCGGGCGGAGGGCTGCTTACTGAGTTTTGGCAAGCCATCGAGGGCTGCATGACAGGCAGCCAGGGGCAGATAAATATTAATTTTCTAAATTTTTTAGGGGCCCTGAGGGCCAGATGGAATGGCCTGGCAGGCCACATCCGGCCTGCGGGCTGCATTTTGCCCACCCCTGCTCTAAAGAGCCAAATTCACCCCTCTGCTGA